CTGTAAGCAAATCAACAATGGCTAGAGCGTTGGATTTGTGATCAACAGATCGCATGTTTTGAGCCTCGGGTGATGCACCGCCTGGGCTTGGGTATGACTGATTGATTATTGCTAATAAGCCAGAAATAGTCATTGTGGTCTCCCTTGTCTTTGTCTGCAATGCTCATTTTTACCCAGTACTGTTCGTATTTTTTATACTGTTAAGGATCTTAAAGACTGATAGCAATTTCTGTAAGCGATTTTGCTCACTATATTTGTGGCTTTGCGCCATATTCCAGGAAATTTGACTTTAAGATTAAGGTAGGGTTTGGGTTCGTGTTAACTGCGGGGTTTAGATCTAGGTCAGGGCTACGGTTAAACGCTAGCGTGCAGTATAGTTTTATGTTATGGTTAAGACACAGGAATATTTATTTCAGGGCCATCTACTTTAAGTGGGTGGGGCGTTTCTATTCCTATATCCTGTTTAAGCGATCATACAAGTTATTTCTACCGTTTATTTTTCGACTATTACAGCATTTCAAAAATCAGCGAATAATTTTGTTTTTACTAATCCCTTCCTCCTCCCCCAGCTAATTGTCGCTTGTGAAGAGAACTGCATCCTCGTTTCGGCCGAGGACCGGCTGAATCTCGGGTCCTCCCTCATCAACTCCCCAACCCTGCATTCCCGCCTTCGATTCCTCCTTCCACTACTGCAGACCAACTTCAGTGGCTTTCGATCTAGTCCTGCAGACCTGAGCGACAGCCTCATCACCGAAGTGGTTGCCTTCGCCCACCGCCGTAATATGTATCGTCTCTGCCTGTCGGCCGGAAAGCAGGCCTGTCTAGAGGGCTGGCGTCAGGTGGCTGAGCTGGGCATGCACCGCTTCAAGGTCCTTAATAAATTGAATCTGATGACCAGCCCACCGGTGACCGACGTGCGCACCTCCTCCTCTTCCCTGTTGGAAGTCTCACAAGCCACCGCCTCAACTGCACCACGAGACCATGTCTTTACAATTTCAATGTCTCTACTTTCGTCCATTCTGC